CGCACTTAACGTTAATTGCCAGCAACACCTTTTATTTTAACAGTGCGCATGATCAGAATAACTTTTAGCGTTTAAGGCCAACGTAATTTTAAGGGGCCCAAAAACTCTCTATTAATGTTAACCGTTAGCGATATATTCGCCACTGACTGACTTTTAATGGCCCTTAATGCCAAAATGTGCCGAGAATATTTTGTATGGTCCGAACATTTAAAATAAAAGCCGTAAAATCTTGTAAAATTCTTCATCCTGTACATCGCAAAAGAAGAACTTGTGACCCCATGTTTCCTCATAAAATCAGCTCAATAGAATACACCCTTAAATTTTTTTGTGCTGCAATGTCTTCTTCACGTCAGTTTCCAGTTGGTTCTAAGAAATTCCTCTAAAACTCCCAAAGTAGATTTTTCTTCGGTTGATTGGCCAAAATTTCCGTTGCCGCACTTGAACGTGATTGGATTTTCCAAAAAAATTATAGACTTTGCGAAGTGTTACATAGATTCCGTTTCTATACAGGAAATGTGTGCTGTGTCGGTGTGCTGGCATATAAAGTATATTAAATTAAAATGTGCATTAGAAATAGAACTTTGCCCTGAAGCCTGATTTAAAATTAGTTTTCAGTAATTTCGCGCAAACGTTATATTCCAACTCATTTGGCTGTAGACACGAAAAGAGATTAATTAAAAGTTTTTTTTTCAAAGCAGGGACGCATTTAGTTTTTTGCTAATATTTGATGACTTTCATAAGCAAACTGTATCATTTAACAGTTTTAAAGCTTGGAGTATAGACAGAAATAATTAAGGAAGTTAAAGCAATTACTGCTCAATTACAGTTAAAGAGTATAAACAGTTTGCAGATAAATTCTGCACGAGGGTAATTTTCGTAGCTTTTTACGTAAATTTGTATTAATTTGTTTGAAGTAACTGATGGTTGTTGATTTTCCGATGTAAATCTTCTGGAAAAGTCCGTCTCTGAATGCAACCCACTGGGTTAAATTATCTTGGCAGTTCTCGCAACAGGCGTGTTTCCTCAATTTCTGCAAATTTCAAAAGAACATTTTCTAATAAACTGATTATAAGACATTCGTTCATGGCCGCTCATCATTCGACAGCCAAATAGTTCTGGAGAGTCGACATTTGGCCGACATAATTTCCAGATCATTTTCCAGGAAAGAAAATTTCGGGTCCATTTTACAGGATCTCAATTTTGATAAAATTATAACAGCGATGTTGTTCGGAAATAGCCGAACAAATTCTTGTCCTCACCAACCAAGTATTCAGAATTTTACATGCATTATTTTAATTGTCTTGAGTCCAGTAGTATATAGTGTGGATTCGGCACCAACCTTGCATGCTAGCACTGGATTTTTTGTCAAATTTTCGGCCACTAAGTGCATTTGGTGATTATTTTTTAGTGTTTTCATTCGTACTTTTTCAAGTGCTTTGCTCATTTTTATCAAAAAAACCTTTGCAGGTTTGGTGAATATTATCAGACAACTAGATACTAGGTAGATGCGTTTTTTTAACACTTTTATACTAATTTTAAGGGATTTTCATTGTTTTTTCCTTCTATATTTAACTGCGTTGTTAATTTCTATTAATTAGCACTTTTCGGCAACAATGCCCAATCAGTTTTTTGTTAGTAGCTTTGTATATTTTACTTTTAATTGTTTTAGAAACGTGTAGGTTTGGATCAGCGTATACGCAGCTAACCATAACTTGGTTGTATAAAAATCTAAGAAACTCGACCTAAATTTAAAAGAATTTTCATTGCACTTCTTTAAAATTTTATAACGACAATCAAGCAGATCAAGAAACAATGCTTATTTATCAGGCACTTTGTGCGTTTTAAATTATGAGCATTCCAAATCCATTACTTTTTATGACACCACTAACCTGAGCAGTCTTTAGAGCGCGTAATTTGCGTATTAACTTTTATTGAGATTTTCGGTTCGAAAGCGGATTATGTAAATTTATCTAGAACTAGTTAAATGCCTAATCCAGCAAGGATCGTAAACCCAAATTGATTGAAATACATCTCGATACACCTAAAGATAACCGCTAATTCTAATAATAAATAATACATGTAATATTCCGGATCGTAAATTAATAAGATCAAGAACAAATGTAAACACATTTGAAAATAATAATTTTAGTAGTTTTTTCAGTCGTTTTAATTTTCAACGGAAATAGATTTGATTGGTGAATTTCTGGCACTGGGTAATATGTTTTTCAGTAAATGCTTCAACGCTTGACGGAAGAATTCAACGATCAGGATTTTTATTGTAGCCGTTTGCATTATGCATATTTCGAGATCCATAAAATCCAATTTTGTGTGCACTCGTAAAACTGGAGATGAAAGACACATGCTTCTTGCGCTTTCGAATTAGCTGAAATTCAAACATAAAATATATGGAAGATGACTAAGATAATTTGCATGAAGTGAAACATTTTTTTATAGAAATAAACAGGACGTTTTCCAGAAAATATCTGTTGCAGATGTGCCATTTTTGCTAATCACACGTTTAGTTATGCAAAATTCACCTGCTGCATTAGTGAGCTGAAATTGCTTTATTGGTTTACAGAAACTGGCAAGACATGTTCTTGATTTACGTAATAAAATGCAACTGAAAGAGTTTGTCAAAATTAATTTGAAATGCGCCACTTAATTATTTTGAACATGTTGGCGTGAGTTTTAGTGGCGTGTCTGGAAATTGGGGACGTAGCAAATATAATTTGCTATGTACTATTTTCAAAACAAATTTTGTTTGCATCCTTGGATAACTGCAACAATCACAGTTCATTTAATTCAGACTTAGAGCAGCGAGACAACTGTTTATTAAATATAAAAAAATGTAGGCAAACGCAATATGTATGTTAGAAAGTAATTCAAACACTTTGGATCAATAGCTTTAGATAGGTCAGTAATTGAAAAACAATCAAATCTATTGGCCAAGAGCCATTATCTATACATATACAAATTTTAGTTGTACTCAGTCTAAAAATAACGATTTCTATCAATTTATTAACCGCTATATCCTGTTGCGAAATTTCCAAACTTCGCGTTTACATAAACATAAAATAAGAAATCTTTTCGCTTCAAAGCATAAACAAATAATTCTTGTTTAAAAATAGGAGTTTTGGTTCTAGATGATGATCACTGCCTTCACGATTGGCCTGGCATATGTGGCAATTCTATTTATTTTTCAATCTAAAAAAGGACAGGACCTTTTCTAAAATCTCTTGAAAACAGTAATGTTGAAATGGAGTTGGGCCAACAAAATATTTTCACTTTAATAATAGTTTTAATTGATTGCTGTTTTACTTGCTAATTTGGCGAAAACATATAGATATAAATTCAATGGATCGAGTTGCGTTCTCTTGCGCTCTTTTGGCATGATTGTTTCGAAGAGTGCAGTGCCTCGAAAAATTTGTTTTAAAACAATTTACCACTCTTTATTAATGGTTATTTTTATTAGAGTTTCAGTAGTTCAATGCACGAAACGTGCCTAAAATAAATTGGGAAATAAAAACATCCTGAAATAATTTTAGTCGAAGAGTTAAATAGGGAGAGTTTCTTTGCGCTCGTGGTTTGTGCTAGTGAGTTGCGGTAATTCTGCTCAAGAGATTTAGTAAGTGATCGCATTTAGTAAGTTGATGAATAAGGACCAAAAAGCATCTAAATGTGCGTGTTCCAAATAGAAAAAGAAAATTAAATAGCTTCATTTTTCAGTCATAAAACTGGCATACGCCCAGTAGATATGCAATCCCGAAATTATGTGTCAATGATCAAGCCACTAACAGGTATCAAAAATAAGCTGTTGCATGGATCATACGGGCAAAAACAATTTTTTTCTTCAAATATTCGACTAATTTAATGTAGTTGATTCCGCTCTGATTAATAACCTGTCATATCTAAGCCAAGAAATTCATATTACTCGTTATTAAAATTACATGAAATTGCAAATTGGGTCGTTTTTTTCGTTTCAAGATAACATGGAAAACCATCAAATATTTGAAGGCCAGTTGAGCTTCGGGTCAGAACGATGATTCGTATTCGAGTAGCAAATTTAGTACCTCGCACCTGTCGCCGATTTATTTCGTACTTTTGAAAATAATGTCCGACACTTTTCACATCGAATTTTGAGCTTACTTCTGACGCATTTAATTGTTTAGAATGCATTTTTAGCAAAGCATTGTTTTTCCCAAAAATGCTTCCAGAAATACTCATTTAAAGTCTTCAGTGAGCGCACCCAATGGATAGCTGGTTTTTTAACACTTCTGTTTCTTCTCCTTTCTTCCATCGCTGTTAAATTACGCATTATTCCAGACACTAAATTTTGTGGAGACACTAAATGAGCTGTTATTGATACACTGCAAGGTAGTGTTCAAAGCCTTTTCCTCAAAAAGGGCTATTTTTTTGAGAGGTGGAACCTGTTCGCATTTTCATGTCTTTTTGCAGGTTCTTCCGTTTATGCATTGTTAGTTAGTAAAAACGAAAAATGAAAAAGTGTTATTCAAATTAAAATTCACACCAGATAAAATTGACGATTCCTCTATCGACAGCTGAAAATTTTAATTTAATAGAAACGCACTTAAGGAAACCGTGCTGCACAAATAAAAAGCTGCCCTTAAAACGTCCAAATTTCAATTTTTTTTTCTGACAGCACCCTACACTGCAGGAAGCTCAAATTTGCGCCAGAGATAACATGAAGTTTCCTCTGTCGATAGTTGAAACGCACATTTAGATATCGCCAGTGGTTCTTTAGAAACGCGCTTAAGAAGAATATGGTACACAAATGAAAAGCCGCCCAAAAAAGTCCAAACTTCAAAAATTTATTCTGACGACATCCGCGCTAACAGGGAACCCAAATTCACAACAAACATAAATTGGGGATTTCGCTATAGATAGATAAACCCCTCTGTATTTAGATATAATTAGTGATTTATTAGAAACGCACTTAAGAAAAACGTGGTGCACAAATGGAAAGCTGCCCTTAAAACATCCAAATTCAAAAATTTGTTCTAACAGCACCCGACACTGCATGAAGCCCAAATTCATAGCAAATATAAATTGAGGACTAATTTGTCGACAGTTAAAACCCACATTTAGATAACGCCAGAGGTTCCTTAGAAACACTTAAGAAAAACATAGTGCACAATTAAAAATCCGCCTTACAAACGCCCAAAGTTCAAACATGTATTCTGGCGGCACGCGCCTTCACAGGGAACCCAAATTCACACCACCTATAAACTGAATATTCCTCTATCGACTCCTGAAACCCCCATTCAAATATCGTTAGTGGTTCTTCAGATACACGCTTAAGAAAAATATGGTGCATAAAACCCGCCCTAAAACTGAGCAAAGTTCAGAAATGTATTCTGACGGCACGCGTCTACAGGAAAGCCAATATTGCACCGGATATAAACTGAAGATTCTTCTAGCGACTGCTGAAACCCGCATTGAGATATCGCTGGTGATTCTTCAGAAACTGTATAGAAAACTGCAATATGAAATAGAGACAAAATTTTTCTTGTAGAATCACCCCTGGACTTTTTTGCTTCGGATGTTTTTCCGAACAGGCTGTATTGATTAGAATCAATTTATAGAACCAGTTGTGTTTTTTCAGTTGTGCTGAAGCTTTTTATAACCGTTGCAATTGATGACAGAGGCCACATAAAAACACTTTTAATGACATCATTTGAATCGACGAAGTTGCGCGAAATAATATTCATATTTCGAAAATGTTATGCACAATATCCGTCGGCCTCTATTGTATTAATTTCATTTCTTACGGCTTATTTAATTTATTGGCCTGCCTCCAACTATTTTGCGATGTTGATGGAAATCAGTTAACAGTTTCATCGCGATTTTCGTTTGCACTAAATAAACGATTTGTTTTTTCGTAAATTAATTGTTCCCAGAGATAAATGGAACAAAATTCCGCTTTCTTCAGAAAAAAATCAGCACAGTTAAAGTTAAAAGGAAAAAAACTTGCTATAATTTTGATCATTATTCAAATATGTTTTAAACATGTTATTTGTTGCAGGCTGAAGAATCGGTTACAAAAACCGAGAAGACTACTGTTTCTCAAACAGACAGCAGAAAACAAACATCCAGTACTCAACAAAGCCAGCCACAATACAGGGCGATCAATTTAAATAACATCCCATTACCGAGCACAGGTGGCCACGTAACAGGTAATTTTTTCACTTTTCACTTTTTTTCTGCCAGTTAACTGTTGCGATCTTCGGATCAGGGCTTGATGGCCTCTTTTTGGGGTTTAATTCGATCAAAAAAACCAACCGCGGGATAAAAAAAAGTGCAACTGTAGGTACTTTCAATATTTTTTTATGTTTTATTTATTTCGACTTGGCCAGAAAATATTTTGAACCTCTGAAAGACAAAATAGATTATTTTTCCCATTACTCGACAAAAGTTACAGTTACGATAAAAATGCAGAAGACAATAATTATTTTAAATTAAACGTGGTGTCCAAATGTTAGCGGCGCACTAAAATGCCTGTACATTATTTTAAAGCTTTTAGACCATCATAATCACGCTTTACATTACATTTTGAGGTAAATACCCGAGAAAACAGTTTTCAAAACCCGAATTTGCCTCAATTAAATTGTTTCCTTGCTGTGAAAATTGCAATTAAATAGCAAATCGACTATATTTATTGCTTTAATTTACAAAAAAAATTGTACTTTGTTATAAATATGCGTATTCTCGTCAAAGGCTGATAACACACAAATCAAATCTAGACAATCCTAATCTCAAACATAGCAGGTACTTATTCATCTTTTGCGGTAAGATTTAGCACATTTGGCATAAACATTTCAAAACAATTCATTATTTTAATGCGCGTTATGGGAAATTTATGCGTTGGGTCCAGCAGCTTAAACTTAGAACAAACTAAATTAATTAATAGCTTTGGCGAGCTTAAAGAAGGTTCGCGTTGCACTGCGAAATTGAAATTAAAAAATAATTAAGCTTTGCTATAAAAACAACATTCGTCTGATGTCGATCGATTCCGAAAAGGATCAGGTCATACACTGTATGAATGCTGTTCACTTAGACAATTGATGTGAAACATCGAAAATAATGTAACAATGTAAAACAGCCTCGGTTGACATGTAAAATACTGGATAGTTGCCATTAAAGCTCCAAGGCAAGCCTAATTGGTGGGCCATCAATTCCGCAAACAATTTGCTTTGTGATCAAACAATCCCGGTGTATTGACCCAACACATTCCCGTTTTTATGATTAATAAATCAAAAATTTTATGGATGTTTTTGACTGTTGTCTGCGAAAAAATTTAGATCTGAAGACATGGATCTCCTAAAGCATTTTCAGTCAATTTATGTGGCTAGAGACTATCGATTGCATTTCACTTGCCAATAACGATCAGATTTTATTAATATCGGGAATAAAAATCGTGTTCAACCTGATTTTGACACTAAAAGCATATCTTGATATTTTTAGAAGTCAGATATTATCCACCTTGGATGTGCCTTAGCGCAGCGGTTAATTTATATATATTACACCGCGTATTTGTCAGTAATGATATCAAATCTTTCCATAATATCAGTGTTTTAGACATTGACGAGCCAGTATTCCCTACATTTTCCACCAGTTTCGTCCGGGACAGTTCAAAGATACAACTAACGAATTTTGCGCTTCAGTCCTAAGACTATCGTCTCATGTTTTAAAGTTTAGATAATGTTTTCTTGGCTAAACATACCAGAAGCTCCACAAGCAACCTGGAACGAGATAAGTCGCTTGTATATTTCAAAATTAAAAAACCTCACTCATTCCGAGTACGATCATCACGAGTTCCCGGTCGTCTACAGAAACATACCCTCAATTCAAGTCGATAATCGAGGATTCGGTTGTGATTTTATTCCTATCACTTTTCTCTCCTGTTTTACCATCAATACTCATAAAGGTAATTTTTATTCTGCAAATTTCCCGATTAATATGCTTTATTTTTTCCCATCATCCCTCAACAAGCTAATCTGCTTTATTTTAACTAATTTTTCCAAAACCCAAAGGTGAGTTGCACAAAGGTAATTTTTCGAGTGTGCTTGTTTTGTCTATTTAACCATTTTTATATGTTTTCTCCCCTTGCTGTCTGATACTCAAAGTTGTGGTTTTCTGCTGAATTTTGGTCCGCATTCATAAAATTAAAAAACACATCAAACCAAGCTGATTTGACTAAAGTTTCCGCCCCTAGTACGCATCCAGGTAGTCCAGGTATCTTGATAAATCGCCCTGTATATATGAATTTCGTGGTTAAATTTAAATATAAATCCCCTTCATTAACATAGTGTTGAAGCTATCTTACAACCGAATATGCGTCTAAGCACTTTAATTTGCAGTAAAATTCGGAATACTTTCAAATACTACAACGACTTTCTATTTTAAAACACCGATATTATGAAGGACGAAATTGGAGAATGCCCGTTTTTCTCGGGCATATGTAGAACTTTGATTTATTTTCCTGACTGCATGTAATTGTTATATTCTTTTACTTCCTGGCGTTCAGTCAAAGTGTGAAATATAAATTTTCATATCGTTTATTTCATACAACGTTTCGGCGAGACAACAGCGTCATCATCAGATTTGAAATTCAAACAAACTCATAATTGGGAAACATTAGATTCTTTTAGGTCTTGGCTGTCTTGAAACCTCAAATTTGTTTGAATAATTCTGTGAAGTAATTTTTTTTCTATCGTTTAAACGTTTCGGCGAGACAACAGCGCCATGATCAGATTTAAAATTCAAACAAACTCATAATTGCGAAACATTAGATTCTTTTAGGTCTTGGCTATTTTGAAACCTCAAATTTGTTTGAATAATTCTGTGAAATAAATTTTTTTATGTCGTTTAAACGTTTCGACGAGACAACAGCGCCATTATCAGATTTAAAATTCAAACCAACTCATAATTGGGTAACATTAGATTCTTTTAGGTCTTGGGTGTCTTGAAACCTCAAATTTGTTTGAATAATTCTGTGAAATAATTTTTTTTATATCGTTTAAACGTTTCGGCGAGACAACAGCGCCATTATCAGATTTAAAATTCAAACCAACTCATAATTGGGAAACATTAGATTCTTTTAGGTCTTGGCTGTCTTGAAACCTCAAATTTGTTTGAATAATTCTGGGAAATTTTTTTCTCTATCGTTTAAACATTTCGGCGAGACAACAGCGTCTTCATCAGATTTAAAATTCAAACAAACTCATAATTGGGAAACATTAGATTCTTTTAGGTCTTGGCTGTCTTGAAACCTCAAATTTGTTTGAATAATTCTGTGAAATATTTTTTTTATATCGTTTAGACGTTTCGGCGAGACAACAGCGCCATTATCAGATTTAAAATTCAAACCAACTCATAATTGGGAAACATTAGATTCTTTTAGGTCTTGGCTGTCTTGAAACCTCAAATTTGTTTGAATAATTCTGGGAAATTTTTTTTTCTATCGTTTAAATATTTCGGCGAGACAACAGCGTCCTCATCAGATTTAAAATTCAAACAAACTCATAATTGGGAAACATTAGATTCTTTTAGGTCTTGGCTGTCTTGAAATCTCAAATTTGTTTGAATAATTCTGTGAAGTAATTTTTTTTATATCGTTTAAACGTTTCGGCAAGACAACTGCGCCATCATCAGATTTAAAATTCAAACAAACTCATAATTGGGAAACATTAGATTCTTTTAGGTCTTGGCTGTCTTGAAACCTCAAATTTGTTTGAATAATTCTGTGAAATAAATTTTTTTATGTCGTTTAAACGTTTCGGCGAGACAACAGCGCCATTATCAGATTTAAAATTCAAACAAACTCATAATTGGGAAACATTAGATTCTTTTAGGTCTTGACTGTCTTGAAACCGCAGTTTGTTTGAAATAATAATAAAACAAATCTTGGCTGTCTTGAAACCTCAAATTTGTTTTATTATTATTTCAAACAAATTTGCGGTTTCAAGACAGCCAAGACCTAAAAGAATCTAATGTTTCCCAATTATGAGTTTGTTTGAATTTTAAATCTGATGATGGCGCTGTTGTCTCGCCGAAACGTTTAAACATGTTTTATTTCACACTTTGACTGAAACCCAGGAAGGAAAAGAATACACTAACATATGTAGACCTCAATTAATGCTGTTAATTCGGGACAATTTAATTGGAACAACGTGCAAAAGCTCTCTTAATCTTCGTCCAAAGCCACCTTTCAGGATGTTTGCAATTTTATTACCTACACATGAAGACACCAATGAATTTTTCCCATTCCAACCCGGTTTCTTTGTGACATCCAGTGAAACCTCCCTAACTGTGATTTTGTTTCAGCCGAAGTAAAGATGCCAAGTGGACATGTGGACCGGCCAGTAATAGAAGACAATCACGACGGAACTGTTTCAATAAAATACGAGCCACGAGAGGAGGGTGTCCATGAGCTTGCAGTGAAATTCAATGGAGAACACGTGCAAGGTTCTCCATATAAATTCCACGTAGATTCTGTGAGTTCCGGCTATGTGACAGCATACGGCCCTGGATTGACCCACGGAGTCACTGGAGAACCGAGCAATTTCACCATTTCCACTAAAGGCGCTGGTGATGGAGGACTCTCCATGGCGGTGGAAGGGCCCAGCAAGGCTGAAATAAGTTGCCATGACAATAAGGATGGAACGGTGTCGGTTTCATATCTGCCCACTGCTCCTGGTGAATACAAGATTTCCGTTCGTTTCGGTGACAAACATATCAAAGGATCGCCGTTCTTCTCGAAAATAACCGGAGAAGGCCGGAAAAGAAACCAAATCTCCGTTGGTTCATGCAGTGAAGTTTCACTGCCAGGAAAAATATCAGACGCTGATATTCGCTCTCTTAATGCTTCCATACAGGCACCCAGCGGCCTGGAAGAGCCATGCTTCTTGAAAAGACTAGCCAGCGGCAATATTGGCATTTCCTTTACTCCAAGAGAAGTAGGTGAACATGTTGTTTCCGTGAAAAAAATGGGCAATCACATAACGAACTCGCCATTTAAAATCAATGTATGCGAACGGGAGGTCGGAGACGCCAAGAAAGTTAAAGTGCAAGGAGGCGCCCTGAAGGACGGAAAAACCCATGTTGACAATACTTTTACTGTAGATACAAGAAATGCTGGATTCGGTGGGCTCAGTCTTTCCATTGAAGGGCCAAGCAAGGCCGAAATCCAGTGCAACGACAATTCGGATGGCACTTTGAATATTTCCTATAAACCAACCGAACCGGGATATTACATTGTTAATCTGAAGTTTGCTGATCATCATGTCGATGGATCCCCATTCACTGTTAAGGTAAGAATTGGCTGTTTAAACGTTCAACAGACTTTTAATGGCTTTTTTGCAGGTAACTGGTGAAGGATCCAACAGGCAACGTGAGAAGATTCAAAGGCAGCGCGACGCAGTGCCAGTAACTGAAGTTGGAAGCCAATGCAAACTCACTTTCAAAATGCCAGGTTGGTGTCCAGCAAACTAAAAATCCCCTGAGTGGCAACTTCATAGTACTTCCTTAGGTATAACTTCATTCGACTTGGGCGCCACCGTAACTTCCCCTGGAGGAGTTACGGAAGATGCGGAAATCAACGAAATCAAAGACGGGCTCTACGCAGTCCATTTCGTCCCTAAGGAGTTGGGAGTTCACACAGTGTCTGTTCGATACAAGGACATTCATATACCTGGTAAGGCTATTGCGACCATCAAAAGTATATTATAATGGAATTATGAGTTTAACTATTTGTTTTTTGCGTTATTCAGGTTCGCCATTCCAATTCACTGTTGGTCCATATCGCGACCATGGGGCCCATTTGGTCAAAGCTGGAGGCGCAGGTCTGGAAAGGGGTGAACAGGGCGAACTTAACGAATTCAACGTTTGGACCAGAGAAGCTGGAAGCGGCCAACTTGCAATTTCAGTAGAAGGTCCCAGCAAAGCTGAAATTAACTTCACAGATCGAAAGGATGGCTCTTGCGATGTGTCCTACAAAGTCACTGAACCAGGTAAGCTGTTGGTTGTGGAATAATTGATACTAATTATGAAGGGGATGAGTAAATCGAGGAATT